AAAAGTAGCTTTATTATAAAGAAAACATTGATTTTCCAAATTTTGTGGTCAAAAATGATAAAAACTGTCAACAAAAAATACTTTAGGGCAATTTTACCCCAAGCTCCCCTTAATTTACCCACCTATGAAGATGATCAAAAACTATGGTTTAGTACATTAAATAGAGCGTTAAAAAAGTAATTATTTATATCAAATTTCACTTAGTTATCTTTACATGTTTAGAAAATATTTACAAAAGTGTGTCATCAGGACTTCACTTTTAACACCTTTTATCTCGGAAAAGAAACGTTTTCGGACCTATGTTTATATGAACTTTTACTCCCATTTTAGAATGTAGATTACGCTGTTAAAATATGACCGTCTAATTTCGGGACATCCTGTATAAAGAGATTTTTAAAGTAAGTAGAAGTAGTTTTAGCATCCTACCATAAATTGCAGGCATTCATGAAAGAAACGATTAAAGGCTCCAGAAAACTGGAAACATCGTGTCGGCAGCCCGGTTTAATGATCCGGGACGGTAAATAATTTCGTACCCTAAGGGTGAGAGTTCAAGGCGCCATCTTATTATTTTGTTATTTTTAACTTTCCCATGACTTTTGTTGTCGAACTTAAATGACACAGTCCTCTGATCTGTAATAAGTTGAAACTGTCTACCTAAAAGGAAATGCCTCCACTTTCGCAGAGCTTCTACTATGGTGTAGGCTTCTTTTTCAATCGCCGAATGTCCCTTCTCACTACCAGAAAGTGTTCTTGAATAAAAGTCAACAGGTCTTCCGTTTTGCGTCAAGGTTGCAGCTAAGGCATATTCTGACGCGTCTGTGGTCAAAACAGCGTCAGCTACATCTTGTTTAACAAGTTTGAAAGTTTGGGAGGCTTCATTTGTCAAAGGAAAATTAGTTCAGTGTGCTGTAGGTCGAATCTTTTCTAAAAATCGTAAAATCCATTGAGAATAATGAGCGAATAATCCCATAGCCCTGTCTAATAAGTGGATGTTATGAGGTTCTGGTAAGTTTAGAAGCGGTTTAAATCGATCCGGATCAGATCTTATTGTACCATTTTTAATATTATGACCTAGTAGACTTATTTCGTCACTTGAGAACTCATATTTGTTTTTATTAATGGTAAGATTGTACTTTTTGGCGATACTAAGAAATTTCTATAAATTATCATCGTGTTCCTTCTATGTTCTATCACATACGGTAATATCATCAATGTATGCAAAAGTATCACCCAAAAACTGAAGAGCAGTCCAAGGATTGGTATAACATTCTAGTTGCTTATGTCAAAAAAAATCCGCGTTTAAGGTTTTGGCTGCTAATTAAAATAACCGAGAAAATGATGGAAAAGCACCCTGAAAAACTAGCTAAAGGTGTTCTCTTTTAGAATATTCCTCTTAATGAACCTTCAATAGTTTAAGGTCCAAATTGGAACAAGATGGTCAACATTTTAAAGACATTTTATGATGTGCTATTTAAAATGCATAATTAAAATTTTATTTATTAAAAAACTAAATTCCATTATGAAAAGTATTTATTTTTATAGGTACTTTAATCAAAATTTATAATGAATGTGAATACGGAAAACTACATGTAAAATATGTATTATCACACACCACGACATTATCGTATTTTGCAGTTAAATTTAGATGCAATTGTCACATTCTATAAGCTGTTACTAAGGATGCCTTGGAAAATATTTGCCAATAGAAAATATTTACTATTGCATGCACCTACTTATCACTGTAAAATTTTATCCTCATCTTTTTTTCCGGTACAAATAACATTCTCGTTAGCGTCAATAATTTAAATATGAAAAGTATAATTCACATATTATTACATGGGTGTCACCATCTAAAGTTATTTATTTCAAGGCTACAAAACAAAGTTACGCGCTTTATCTTATCATTTGGTGTCATCATTTTATAACAGGCCTTGTAGTTTTTATTTTTTATCTGTTTTTAAAAAAATGCACTTGGATTATCAAAATGTTAATAAAGATCGTAGACAGAAATTTCAATTATTTATATTGTTAAAATTTAACTATAAACGGATTTTCTTAATTATAATTAAATATTTTTTATTAGAGAGGAATACTTTAATAGAATATTATATTACTAACGCGAAAAGTGGCATTTTTTTCACACTAGTAAGACATATTTTTGAACGAGGAGTAATCCAAGTGCGATAATCACACGAGTGTAAAAAATAATTAGACTATGTTCTGGATTACTTACGTAAACATGGGTTAGATTTCAGATTGAAGCAACCTTATTTTATTTTGGAAAAAATATGAAAACCAAATAATTACATAATATTAATGTTTATTAGGCCCCAATACATCTAAATAGCAAATTTTACTTCTTTTACTTTTAAAATAGACATTACTTAAATCGAAATACGAAGGATGGATCTTACATGTTTGACAGCTTATGCAGAAGGAAGATTAGAGAGATATTGCAAATTTCTATAACGTCAGCCACTAATAATGAGAACGTAATTAGAGGCATGCTAAAATAAGACTTATTAAAAACCTGAAGTGTACACATTAGAGTCATTATACATATTTCTAACCTAATTTTAGAAATTTTAAATTACAGTTCATCTTTTTTGTTGTCTACAATAGTACATACTATTATACAGGGTGGTCCTTAAGTAATTGTACATAGAAATATGGTAGATTCCTCACTTTAAAATATTACGATTTAAATCAACTTGCTTTAATAAAATGTTGCTAATAAGAAATATACAGGGTATTAAAGGTTAAATTTTAAGATTTCTTTTTCGCAATAACTAACGTTTTTGGTTATGTATACATAAAAATTTGGAAATTTGGTTTTTTATTTTTCCTTTTTCCAAAAATAATTCAATTTTGATGAAATTTTGCATTGAATAAGGAAAAAAATTAAATAAAAAAGCAAATAATTTGGAGATATTATTTTTTTTCGGTAAAAAAAACATTTTTTTTTAAAGAAATACTAAGGTGAAAAATTATCGTACAAAATTATTTAGGTACCTACTCATTTTTTTTTAACATATAGTTTTTGATAAAATAAAAAAATATATATATATAGTCACCATTAAAAAACATGCTCAAAAAGAGATAAAAACAAAAAATGGACAAGGCAGCAATGAATTAATCCTTAATCATTAAAAAATTAATAAAAAAACTGATTGTACCATTCAATTGTATAAAAAAATATATATAAAGTAACTGTTTTTTTATTTTTTGACCAGAATTCCTATTTTTGTATACAGGGGTGGGGACTTTAACTGTGGAACTAATTCGTTAGAGCCGCAGGATAATATATTTGGATAAAACGCAAAAACAGGTCGAATGAGTTTTTTGTGTGCTTTCCAGTCATACTAAAAAAAACTTTCACCCCTTTTAAGGGGTTAAACCAAACCCCACTTAATTTTTTTAAATTATATGATACTAGTTGTAGCACCTTGTTCGAAAGCTCTTTTAAAAACAAAATTGGCTATACAATTTTATCCTTTTTTAATTTGATAGCAAATTCTTGATAAAAATCTTCAATAAAAATAAATATTAAAAAAATTGATAAGAAAATAGATGTGTCAAAATTTTTTTTGATATCATTAATCTTAAAACTTATGCAACGTTTAACATATTTAGTTGTGTGAGGTCGGTCAGCTTTACATTTATTAAAGAAAACAAGGGAATTCGCTATCAAATTATAATAAAAAAAATTGCACAGTAATTTTTTTTGTTAAAAAAGCTTTCCAATAAGATGCCACAAGTAGAATCATCTCATTTAAAAAATTAAGTGGGGTAGGTTTCACCCCTGAAAAGGGATGAACATTTTTTTTAATATGACCCGGGGAAGACCACAAAAAACTCAATAGACCTGTTTTTGCGTTTTACCCAAATATTTTATCTTGTGGCTCTAGCAAAATAGTTCCAGTTAAAGTCCCTACCCTGTATACAAAAATCCAAATTCTGGTAAAAAAATAAAAACAGTTGCTAAATTGAAACAAATTATATCAATAATTAAGTAATAATGAATTTTTGCCATTGTCATTTTTTTGTTTTTATCCATGTTTGAGCAGGTTTTTTAATGGTGACTATAATTTGTTTTATTTTATCAAAAACTACATGTCAAACGAAAAAAATGAGTATCTAAAGAACTTCATATGATAAGTATTCATCGTAGAATTTGTTTTTTAAATATTTTTTAGCGAAAAAATTTATCTCTAAATATTTTTAATTTTTTTCCCTATGTAAGACACATAAAGGTATAAATTCACCAAATTTCATCAAAATTTAATTGTTTTTTGAAAAAATAAATGGCATTTTTATCAAAAATTTTTAGGTTATGTTAAAAAGTACCTTTAGAAAAGCTGTAGATTTTTGCTTGATCTACAACTTTTGTATTATACATTTTTGTTTTTGACGCCAATTTTCGCCGAAAATATATCATTTTGCAACCCCCTAAAACTTTAATTTGATTAGACTAAATATTTATTATTGACGTATATATTAACGATCCTTATAATAATATACAGGATATTTCTTAATTTCTTTATTTTTTTAAGCGAAAACCAAGCGTCGGGCGAAAATCAAGAGATCAAGTTTGCTCAGATATGAATGAGGATTCCAAAAATAATTTTTATTTTAAGAATAGGCAGTGGCGTACCATTTTTTTCTACAAAAATATTCAATGCCCGTACGGACGCTACTGCTAAAAATAATAAAATTGTTTTTACATCAGAAAATGCATCTTAATTAATAGAAGACGTGTGCTAAATTTCATAAAGATATTTACAATAGTATCACAGTTATTATAAAAAAACTATTTTTTTTTTTGAAATTTTACCGCCTTGTATCTTAAAAGTTAGGAGGTTTAGGACTTACGTCCATATGAAGTTTTTTCCTCAAAATGGACCCAAGAATCACCCACTTAAATATTAACATGTCATTAAGGAACACCCTGTATTATTACTATTACTACTATAACATTAATCTTATTATTTTTATTTCAGATTTACCCGCCTACTTCGTCATCGTTTACATCAAGATTTAGACTAACAAAGTTTTTCGAACCGTACACAAATATCATTTAATCAAAACTTGAATTTTATTGTAAATAGTATTTTCGAGCAGATTTATTTTTTGATAAAGCGTAATAATATATTTGTGTTATGCTTTAGAGATAAGAGCGGTCGAAAGATTTGAAAATAGTCACACGTGGACTGGTTGTTTTCTTTTTGATAAGACGAAGAAAGGATATTTTCATGGTTTTCATGGTAAGTTGACTTTAATTTATCTTATAACGTTGTTGACAAATAATTCAAATATAAGGCGCAACTGGTTTTCTATTGCAAATAGCGAAGTTTCGATTTTTTGCATTACATTTTCCTTCGGCTTCACAATTATTATAAGGTACTCTTAAGTACTTCAGATAAAATGTGCACATTCGAAAAAGACTGACTTTATTGCATTTTGAAAAAATAAGGAGAAATAAAATTCTAAAACATTTCCGATTCGGAGGGAAACTCAAGGTCAAAAATTATCTAATTTTGAAACATACAGCCCTTAATATATTAAAAAATGTATACCAAATATTATAAAATATACTGTTACATTTATGGGATTAATTATATCCTCACTGATACATAATATAAATGGCTGAATTGCACTTTTTTGGATTTTAAATTTTGCACATTTTGTCAAATTTCTCGAATACGGACCATTTTAGGAAATTTTTACATGAAGCAAAAATTATAGATAATAATTTATGAAGTAACTTTTATTTAAAAAATTTTCTTCACCAAACGTAAATAACATATGCCATAAAATACAAAAATGACCACCTATAAAGTACCCCCCAGATGTTCCGACTCTGCCCAAAATCTAATCAGCTCATTAGACGCTGGAACAAAGCTTAAGTTTAAAATTTGGTGTTTTTCTGTGTATCGGTTCATGAGTTATGCGACACACACACGCACGCACGCACGCACGCACGCACGCACGCACGCACGCACGCACGCACGCACGCACGCACGCACGCACGCACGCACGCACGCACGCACGCACGCACGCACGCACGCACGCACGCACGCACGCACGCACGCACGCACGCACGCACGCACGCACGCACGCACGCACGCACGCACGCACGCACGCACGCACGCACGCACGCACGCACGCACGCACGCACGCACGCACGCACGCACGCACGCACGCACGCACGCACGCACGCACGCACGCACGCACGCACGCACGCACGCACGCACGCACGCACGCACGCACGCACGCACGCACGCACGCACGCCCGCACGCACGAACGCATGCACGGACGCACGCACGCACACACACACACACACACACACGCACACATACACACACGGACATCATCGCGAAAATAGTCAAAATGGATTCAGGCTACCTCAAAACGTAAAAATCCGTCGAAAACTCGAGGTCGAAAAAAATCATGATTCCTATACTTTCCTTATATCTGTATACAGATAGGAAAGTAAAAAGTACAAAATGTTTTTAGTTTGAATTCCACTACGAGGAAAAGAGTGATTCAATCCACTTGTACCATATTAACATTATTATGCACGTTAAAAGTAGATCTGTCTCTGTTTTTTTAATACTATTACGGCAGGACAAACGATGACCGTGAATTTCGCCAAACGAATATCAGAAAAGTGTTCTCAACTTAAGTTGACTACTATTTCCCCTAGCCTTAGTCACCCCCTCATCCATTTACTGGGTCTATGTCGCGACCCCCTTAGATATACCAGCCCTGGTTATACCACCAATTAATTAATACAATACAGTCCTATTAAAAAATTGAAAAAATCGCAACCTCATGCTTTGACATACCCTATATTCAACATAGCAAAAAATCAATTAAAATTTCTTGACGATGTGAGAACAATCAAATATGGTTAACTACCTGCAGGCTATTTTGCTTTAAAAAAGTATAGATTTGGTCAGAACCTCGTTTATGGACCACCCTGTATATTTAAAATTAATTATTGTTAAATACGATCACAAAACTTTTATATTACAAATTTCTTCGTATTTCTAATAATAAAACAGCTATTTACGCACTGGTGGGACACCCTGTATACGTGTTATTGGCTAACATGTTGTATCGTTGAATAGGCAAATTGTATATGAAATTTTATGCTAAAATAATATACCTGGTGTAGCATTTAAAAACGTTGAGTAAATTGGATCTAAAATCAGCCATATTTAAAACATGTTTCAAAACATTTTGTAAATATTCCAGTTCTATCTCCACTATTCTTTAACTTAGTATCCTATAAATCTGTATTTTAAACAATTTTGAAATAATTGTAAATTTGGAGTCTACATCATTCTCTAATTTCATAAAAAAATTAATTGATTTTTAAAAAAATTCTAGGATTAAATACAGTATTTCATAAAAAAATTAATTGCTTGGCAACTCTACAATATTTTTTAAAAAAATTCTAGGATTAAATACAGTATTTACCAGCCATTCTAAAACTAATATAAAAAACAGGATGTTCTATTTTAAAACTACACATTTTTATTTTCCAGGCAAAAACGCAACACCCTGTATATCGAAAATTATTTTTAAAATACGTATTTTTTTAATTCCATATAATTCTTATTTAAAACTTGTTAGCGTATTTGTGGTGCTCGCGTCTCGTTTGGTGAGCACACAAAGAACATTTTATGACATTTTTGTTGCTCTTTCATGTTTGACGTTTCATGTCATTATTTTTATTTTTTTGGTTATATGCAATGTCTTGAGAGTGACAACCATCTGGTCTCTTCTTTTTCAATAACGTACCTGTTATTTATGAAGCTATGCTTTTCCTTTTGTAAATCTTTACAGGATTTTCCACCAGGATAGAAAAACGAAGTAGACAAGAAATTGAGAGCCAGCCATATATAAAGGACCGCCGTTGCTATGCTGGAACAATATAAAGACAGCAGACAGTAAACAAGCATTTTCCAAACAACAAAAACAAATCCAAATTTTATAATTCCGATTATACCATTTTTATATAGTTTTTTCTGATTAAAATTTTTTCTAAATTAGTTGTAGCCATTACTCCAAAGGATTTAGTGGTCGCCGACCGGGACCACTAAAGTGAAATATTGAACAATTACGAACTAATGGGACACCCGACGTCTGTGATATGCGTATGATACTGTATGATACTGTCATGCTATGACAGCCGTTTCAATCCCTTTAAATTTCTATTTCAGTTTCTCCCTTGTTATTTCTACTCTTTGATCTAAATATTTTGCTTGATAACGCCAATTTGTCAATTGGTCAGTAAGTAAAATAATATTCTGGTTAAATTTATTACGTAGAAAATACAGAATAGTGAGATACTTATTTATTCATTATTTTTTAAAAGTTAGGTTGTTTTGTAAATTTATAATCTTTCTAGTACATTGTGTTATCTTCTGAAAACATCCAGATGGTTCTGTATCTCTTCTCCACTTATCCTATCTTTATTAAACAAAAAAAAAACAATATTGCATATAGCCGAGTACCTATACAACTTTCTAACACGTAAATTGCCTCATGAAATACTATGTTTAGATGTGCTTTACTTACCCTAATGTGCAAATTATTACGTTTATACTTATAAGGAAATAATTATTACAAGTTATAATATTATCCAACGCAAGGTTTAGATTAACACTTTATTAACTAAATTGAAAGGAGTAATTAAATAAAAAATTATTTTACGCCAGTAATTACGCCTGACATTTTGAAAAATTACATCGCCTTTAAACGCAGAGTCGGCTTTGTTTCAAAGTTAAATTGCAAATATTTGCGTATTCACAAACATTTTACAATGAATTATTTTTTCTGATTTCAATATTTAAGCATATCTTTCAAATAATGTTTTCCGGCCATTAATATATTAACTTTTTTAAAATTCCTCATAATTCAAATATTGTAATGAAAGCTATAACGTCTCACATAGATTAGTGTTTGATAAAATAAACGACTTTTGAGTTTGATAATTTCCCAGTTGGTATGAGCGTTTCTCAGGGGGTCTGTATTTGGACCGTTACTATTTTTATTTTTTACAGGTATTAAAAGTAATTTTAATGAACCGACTTCAAAATCGTGCAGATGCCATCACCACATCTTGACCAAATTTATATGGGACCACTCTTGAGGTAACTCTTTACTAACAAAAAAAAAATCAAAGAAATCGGACAAGTTAGTAAAGAATTATCGATAAACATACATAAAAAATGAAGAATTTGAAGATTTTCTCATAGACTCAATTATTAGATTCTGACCAAGTTTATATGGGACCACCCCTGGAGTATCCCCTTTCTAACAAAAAAAGAATCATTGAAATCGTACATCGTGTTAAAGAATTATCGCTGAACATACATAAAAACATATTACGACGAATTGAGAACCTCCTCTATTTTAGAAGTCGGTTAAAAAATGATCTACTATAGCATATAGCTGCAAATAAGTATAATAACTTTATTTACTGAGCTGGCGGTCATAGGACAGATCTTTGAAGTTTATGTAACAATATATTCGTTTGGCTATACAGAAAAATAATCCATTACCAATGAGTCATTACCTAATGAAACAAATCAAATCAAAACAACAAAACAAAGGGGGTTATGATTGACAACTTGTGTTATTTTTAACAGGTCTGTTATTTTATAAACACACAGAAATAACAACCTGTTCACAAATAACGTGTCTGTTAAAAATAACATTATTTGTCCATCATAACCCCGAAAATTATACAGACGACTAAAAAATTTTGAAGTTCTTCTAGAATGCCATACTTAACCTTTTTTTTCCTTCGGGCCACATACGTATGTTTGCTATGTTACACGGGCCGCAATATCTTTGGATGAAGACCCTTTATTTAGGCCACCCATTTAAAATTTGTTAGTGGGAACCTCTAATAAAAAAACACAAAACAAATATATCCCGTAGGGTTACTGCAAAAACAAGATAACTTCGAAAAAACGCTCTTCAAAAGTATAAAATGAAATAAAAAAATCAGTAAAAGCACTGTTTAATAAACAATAACTCGAATAAAAAAAAAGAATTTAAAACAGGTCTTTACAAATATAAACTAAAAATCGATTGGGAACAAAAAAAAGGAGAAAAAACGTCACAACTTATAGCTATCTACAAAATCTCTCTATTTGATACGTATCGTGTAGAGTTCGCACACAAGAATCCATGTGCACTGTACAGGTCATAATACTTAATGTCTGTGCCACTAGCTTGTGTGAA